AATTACCGCAGTAAATTGTAATAATAAATAAATCGCAGTACCGTGAACAACTATAATTAAAATTGAATTTGGAAAAAAATAACTTGTCTTTAACTCATTTACTTAATAACTGGATGTGAAAATTAACTGCGAAAAGTTAAATGTACACAGCGAAAACTTAAGCTAATTAAGTTATTTTTTTTTAACGACATAAATAATTAACTAGTTAAGTAAAAATGTTTGAAACCAATTAAAAGTATAACTAGTTAATGTCCACTATTATGCATTTGCACCAAAACCGTAAGGAATAATACGTATGTATTTATGCATTGGTGTAATCATTAAAACATGAAATACAAATTCGCAAAATAATAATTACCTGTGCGAATCTGGAAGAAAAAATTTACATTGTCGGTGTGGTGTAACCACCCGGTGTAATATTATAGCGAGCTCTTCGGTCGTTTATACCGAAAGGCAATAAATTATTATTCGAGTGGATATTGATAATTAACCGGGTGTAAACGAGTCGGGGGGGGACAAAACATACACGCATGGAAAAAAACTGATTTAAAAACATTAATCGAAATTAATCGAATAAACCTTAAGCAAGTTCGATATGATTGGTTAGTTTTCCTTCGTCAAATAAATAGATTTTTATTTTTAGACCGTAATATTAAAAAAAAAAAAAAATCAAAAATACGCGTTATAATTAAACGTTTTTTAAACGATCAAATAAAAACGCGAGAAATCGAATTTCGTCCACACCGACGCGAGACGTCGAATTCAAATCTGCGGTATTGCGCTGTTAAACGTGATACGTTGGAAAAAAAAAACAAATAATAATAAATACGCAAATACGCAAATACGCGAAAATCCGACTACGATTATCGTTACAAATATTGTAATTGCCGGCAAATAAACATGTTAAAATAATTGCGCGCATCCCGTGAATGTAACCGACTCGCGTCAACGGTAGGCTGTAATTATTATTCATAACCGGTGCGTATTACAACGTAGTTCGTAGCGCCGTTATTCGTTTCAGAACATTAACGATGAACGAACGTTGTAATTGTAAACGCGTCATTGTAGACACGTTACTTAATGTTGTATTATTTTTATCGTCGATAAACGCGTTCGATGTCAACGCGCCTCGATGAAAGTTGCAATAAAATCTATCGGCACGTCCTACCGAGTGTTTAAATCCAATTGCGTTCGATAATAAATGGGCACTTTTAAAAATAAGTATATTTGTACGAGGGCTGGGCGCTCGGCCGATTGACACCAGCACACGCACATATCGTTGTACAAATAAACAGCAAAATAACAATTGGATTTAACAATGTAGTTGTGTAGTTTTATTATTTTACATTCACGTTTTGACCGACGGATTTCTACGTCGATGACGAGCGGTTAAATGTGCCCGAAAGCTCAACCGTGATTTTGGACAGTGTTTCGAATACTCCGTCTGAATACATTTTGATTACTCGTACTTAAATACCCTAGCATTCGATGTTGAATATGTTTGTATTTTTATCATTGACTTTTGTATTACGCGACAGGTCTTATAGTTGACCCGGCAACGCTTTGCTATTGCTGGATAATAGTGTAAATAATAGTAAAAACAATAACAATAATAGTTTTCTTGTCCGCGACGGTCAAATTGTCATCCACGTCACCAAGCTAATCATATGTAAATAATAATAAATAAACCATTAGATAGGTACGCGTGCCGAAAATACCTAAAAACCCCTATTTTACCGCCTTAGGGGTTTGATTTTCCAAAATTCTCACTCAATGAATGCCTACGTCGTAATAATTGTAATTGTACGCGAAACTTCAGTCCGATCCGTCTAGTGGTTCGGGCTAGGCGATGATGAACCAGTCAGTCGGGATATTTTATTATACACCGTACAGAAGAAGAGAATACATAAATTGTTACACAAATTTGAGTTTACTAGTAGTAGTGTATCGTAGTATGCAGTATATTTATGTATTTTAACAAAACTGATGTAAACTCATATACAATACTTTAACGATAAATATATTGGAATAAATGTGTGCTGATTGATATTGATTATATTATAATAATGTACTTAATAGTTAATCATTACCGTGTAGAGAAATTAAAATACCTACAGGGTACCGTATTAAGTTTTGTCACACCTATTCGTACATCGGGCTTTGTATTACCGATGTACCTAATTACCGCCCGATCTCTATTCTAAGTCACTTCGCAAAGCTCTTCGAATCTGTATTGTTAAATCGTATATCCAACCAACAGTTAATAATGTTCTGTGCGATGAACAAAATGGATTCCGGCCTGGGCGTTCAGCGGTAACGTGTGGTTTAGTTTTCACTGAATGCGTTGTGAATGCTTTTTCAGACCATGCTCAGATTGACATACTTTATTTGGATTTCACTAAAGCGTTTATTTGATACGGTGAATTACAAAATACTGTTAGGCGTCATGAAACATTCTGGTTTTAGAGAGCCATTTTTTTTTCTGGATTCGGTTCGCACTTGTTAAATAGAAAGCAGTCAATAAAAACGTATGGCATTTGATCTTTCGTCACTGACGTCCGTTCTGAAGTGCCACAAAGGCTGTACCCGTCCCCATATTCTAGAAAGTCTTTTTTTTTTTTTTATCTGTGTGCGACTTTTTTTACCAGAAATCTTACTCCGATTTACAATGATAGCACTTTTTCTGTAAGAAAACCTGACTTGGAAGGTACTTTAAAGAGGTCATTTTTCGATTTTCCCAGGAATTTTCCCAACAAATGTGAAAAACCGGAAAAGAACACTGTAAACGGGAAATCGGTACAATGTTAAACAAATATTATCGAAGAAAAAATATAATGCGTACTTATTTATTTTACCATAATATGGCGTATATATTGTCGACAAAGCATCACTATCAACTGATCACCGCCCAGAATTGTCTTTTTCGTAAGCAATGCTTTATCGTTGCTTACAGGTATACATTAAATTATCTATAACAGTGGCTACATTCGTTCCCATAGGACAACGCTGGGCGCTAGTGATAAGTTCAATATTTGACATTAGGAGGGATTGATAAGCAGACAACGAATCCAATCGACTCTCGTGTGTATTCGCTTTCCCTGACTGTCGTGTATACATTACATCAGAAACGAATCCTTAGTGGATGTATACTAAATAAAAGAAAAAAACAAACAGCGACCTGCAACTTCCTGTCTTTTTGTTAATATCGTAATACGCCACGTTTTTGTTTACATCAGGCGTGTCGCTTTCGACTTCGTATTTTATTCTGTAGCAGAGCGCTCTACAGTTATTCGCTCGAAACGCTTCGGCTAAACAGAGAACGACTTCAATTAATACTCGCATTTATTCGCCTTCCAAAACTGTCGTGCATAATACGCATTAGTTACGAATCCTTAGTAATCACAGTATCTACATATATGGTAATACTAGGTATATGTAAAATATACCTACATACATAGGTATTGTTTTTTTGGTTTCTTTATATGCATACAAGCTTAGATTGTTATTTGTAAAATATCAAGATAACTGTAACGACTAGAGTCGTTAGTTATTGCTAAGTATAAGCACGATTCTGAACGAAGTTCAATTAACCATGTTTGCAAACGCCGTAATTTTTACGATTTTTCGTTTAAATTCCAACTTAGAACTCGCTTATAAAAAGGCTACTACTACAATACGCTCAATTTTTTTTTTTTTTTTGGCTCTCGGTATACGACATGTTATAATGAACCTCGTATTACATTTTCAATGTGTCTTTATTTATTTGAACAATAAAATATAATTCCATACAAAATGTTGAAAGAATTTAGTAACCTAGTAACTAATACCTGTGTATTGTTACATATTTATAATTGCAAATTAATGCTATCTAACATTATTTGTTAATATTTATTTTATTTAATCATAATGTGAGTCAGTTAAGGAATCAGGGAAGACCAGGGGGCTTGACCCCCCCCCAAAAAAAATAGTTTAATTGTACAAGATTTGTAAGGAAAAAAAGAGCAGAGGAGCGATGAATGTATTATGATGTATTTTTATTATTGTTTTTTTATTTCTGTCTCCGAACAAATTTTCTTCTAGAAATCTTACTCCAATCAAAAAATAATTTAGCAAGAACTATCAGCGTTTACAAATATGAATTAAATAACTTTATTTCTCCTGCACCCTTCACAACTTCCCACCAACAAAATTGGCTGCACTCATACTCAGAATTACGTCTTTTTTGCTTATTAGTAATTTTTTTTAGGAGATCCCCCCTAAATTCAACTCTAGATCCTCCACTGATGTGAGTACGTTATACGTTTATTACGTAGGTATGTAGTTTTATAATTTTTATATATAGTTTTGGAATATGCGTCTGTGTTATGAGATCCGCTTACTTAAATATATTTATTCCTTGGAGCGAGTGCAGCGTACATTTTTTTTCCTTTACTGGTTGTGTTGAAAATAGTTTATCTGTCACACAATTACCTGTTCTTGCTTCCTATCAAATGTCCTCACTAACCGACAGAAGAATTCGAACAAATTTAGATTTTCTAAGCTAGTTAGTCACAGGTCTTATTGATTTTCCGTACCTTCTTCGATACGTTAACTTTAAAATACCTTCTTTTTCTTCACTTCTTCTTCACACGTTATTCAATTAATTATTTTTAGGTACATAGCTATTATTAATTTATTTAAATTTTTGCTTTGTAAACAAGATAAATATTGCAGTGTCATAATCATTTACATCATGTTTGTTTTTCGTTGCCGAACGACTTTAGACGGCAGCTACAACTACAGTTCACTCTTCAATAAAATAAATAATGTCTATAAGGTATGTAAATACCAAATAAATGTGTAGTAAATACTAATAATAGCTCATTGATCGTTGAAATTGAAAAACATTTTCACAATGTCATTATTAACCCTAGAATAGTAACGATAATTTACATGTCACTATAGGCAATGATGCGTATAATTAACGCACATTTTAAGTAGTATTATTTACATGTATAACGATGCGTAAAATGTACATACGGTGTTTTCGTCAGACGTGTCGGTTCATATCATATCTTTCTGACAGAAAATGCATAATAATTGATGCTTGTAATTCTGTTTTACTATCTAAGATTGTCAATAGAGTGAATAAAGCAAAATGCTTCACAGTCCTAGTGGACGAAACGGCTGACATAGCTGGAATTGAACAAGTTTCCATTTGTGCCCGCTATGTGGATCTAGAAACACGTACATTGCATGAAGATTTTCTTCAGTTTGTTCCAACAACTGATTTAACTAGTAAAGGATTAGCTACCTTGATACGGAACAACTCAAAACATTTTGGACTCGAAACACAGTGTCTACGTGAGCAAGGTTTTGACGGAGCGGCTGCAATGTCGGGGAAATATAATGGTGTTCAATATTATGTTAAACAAGCTCATCCACTAGCCGTTTATATTCATTGTTCGGCCCATTCTCTCAACATTTCTGTCTCTTCATCATGTGGTATTCAAATATGAGAAATTGTTCAAGAATGGTTGAAAAACTTCGGGTTTTTTTTTACATTTCCGAAACGTAAAGCTATGCTTTCACTAGCTATTGAACAGAAAACGAAAATGTGTTATCATAAAGATCATTAAAAGGAAGTTGCGAAACCCGGTGGATAGAAAGATATCGTTCAATAAATAATTTAAAGACATGTATCCAAGTATATTCAAATCGCTTCAAATTTTAGCAACACTCCCTGTATCGACTGCGTCAAATGAAAGAACATTTTTGAAATTGATGTTAATAAAAACGTACTTACGTAATACTATCTCTGAAGTAAGTGTTAACATTTCATTCAATAAAATATTAATTTTTTTGTTTGTGTAAAATGCATGTTTTTTTTTTCTAGAATAGACGTAATAGACTGGCTATGATGTCCATTTACAGAAGAGATTCTCTATCACCACAAGAAATTTTGGATGGACTTTGTAAAAAAAAAAGAGACGACAAAATTTTATACTTTAAAATTAAAAAAAAATATTTGTGTTAAAATCACCCTATGACATTTAAAATATAAATAAAATAATTACTTTCTATTTTTATAATCAATTAAAATCTATTTCTTTATCAGTATCTATATCATGTCGAAATTATTGGACCTCATCCAGAAAAAAATTTAAAATACGCCACTGCCAATACTGAGCCCTCTTTTCCATTATCTTAATTAATTAATTTTATTTCGTTAATTTTAGTTTTATTTTTAATTATGACCATTGGGCGCTATCAGCTCATAATTTTAATAAATAAAATAACATTAACGCAATATAACGAAATAAATAGCGAAACACGGATGAAAATATAAGCCATTAATAAATGTTACTTCGGTTAGCTATTACCATCTAGAATGCTCTCGAAAATCCGAAGACTCCAATGCATCAGATTCTAACAAAACTAATTGTAACATATGGATAGGGAAACATATGAAAACGCATTATCTGTGTTTGAAAGGAAGGTACTTAGGAGTTACGAATAAAGAGGATAGTTGCTGACAATGGTACGCATTGTACGAATCGTTAGACGCTACGACGCGTCTTGCAATGCCCTTTATTGTTCGTCGATCTTTATCACGATATATTATAGCTGTATAGTTATTAACTGTATGTATTCCGTTTATATATCTTTCAGTGTAAATAACAACGATGAATTTTATTAATCATTTTATTACTGATATGATGATGCACATAATATCAGTTGCGTAGGTAGGATTTTAAATAGAGGGGAGCTAGAGAGTTTGCTTGAGTCATCATAGCTGGTAAGGGGAGTTCGATTCTTCTTAAATTTCCCTAGAAAAGTGTAAAGTAAAAATAATCCCCATTATAGTAAAACTCGTGCACTCAGTTACGCGTAGAATCTAAAACAAATGGTTAATATTTATTATTTTCTCTATGCGGAATACAAAAGAACTGATATTGCTGATGCGCCACTGTTGTAGGTGAGAAGTTTAGAAGGTAGAATACATAAAGCTATTTATATTTATATCTATAAGCAAAGATAAATTATTGCTAACGAAATATGATTCTGAGCAAAGTTCAATTATATATATTCAAAGTTCACCTTTTGAAATGTTATAATATTTACGATTTTCATCAAAATTCGATCTTAAAACGATTATCAAAAACCTCGCACATGATGCTCAACTTTTTGTTTACCACTAAGTAACTACAACTTATGCCTAACCTTGTGTTAAATTGCCAAGAATTTCTGTTTAATCAAATAATTTTATCACCATAGTACCTGTAAAGGAAAAATAACGTAAAACAATTAGAAAATGTAAAATTCCTATTAATAGTTCAAAGCGTTTTAGAATATTTTGAACATTTCACCACGTCTAAAGAAGGCCAATATAATTTTATCAAAATTTAAAGTTTCTACGAATATGTTTAACTGAATTAACAGCAAAACCACAAATTTGAAAATAATAAAATCATTATTGCCGCGTAAGCTTTACCTTTCTTTCTAAGTTTTTTCCTGGTTGTGCTCAGTTAAAGAAAACTACAATGAAAATCAAAAAAAAAAAAAAAAAAAAACGACTTTCTTATTCACTAATTAGATCCGAAATGCAGCAAAATAGGTTTTTAAATTTTTTCGATTGAAACAATACACCCGTCCGACAGTTGCATGTTACTAGGCGAATTTCGTGTAAAATTAGTAATTATACGATGTTTATTAATGTCCTCTTTATATTTTTATTAGCCATAGCTAACCCATTAATTCTATTTTTTGACATAGTACTCTTTTACTCGTTTTTATACAGTTCAGTGTATACAATTTTGTTCAGAAGCGGAAGAAATAACTATAAATTCGAATTGACATTCATATCGTAAAATAATTTACGAGTACAAATATAGCTCATGGGGGTGCTACAAGAATTCTATTAATAGACATGTAAAATATAACATTTTATTACAATAAATAAGAAATTTGTATTAAATTAAATATAATATCATAAAGTGCATATTATAGATTTATAATACAAAACCTAACCTTCGGTATTTCATCGGAGAGAACCTATCAATAATATCATCCACCGGTATACTTATTTCCTGGTAAATATGCAACAGTGCAAGTCCGTATAGGCGATCCTGGCACATTTAATTTATAACTATAAATCAGTCATAAGAAACTACGGCTGAACCGCCAAAACGAAATGATAGCACCAGAATCCTTGATTCTGTTCGACCATAGATAACAAAAATATTTTAACTGCGAATTCGACCTTATTGTAATACTAACTATTTAATTGTAAAAACACTAAAAACAAATGCCCCCCCCCTCACCCTATCCACAGGTACGCTACTGGCTGTAGCCTTCCTTTTGCGTACGTCATTTTTATAGGTAATATATATATATATAAATAATAGTAAGTTAAATTTTAGGAAGCGATTTTTTTCTGTAAAACATTTTGATTAATTCTTACACATAATTAAACAATATTCCATAATAGTATAATTGTTTGATTAGTTATTAATTGTAAAAAAAAAAAAAAAAAAACAATAAATTATCTAGAAAATTATTACTTTCAAATATTAACTGCTGGAGAAATCGTCATTATAAAAATATTTCAATTGTTATGTGAAAAATTACGGCAAAAAATCTCCACGACCCTACCAGGATTCGAACCTGGAATCTCCTGATTCGTAGTCAGACGCGTTATCCGTTGCGCCACAGGGCCTATGAAAGCTTTAAATAAAATTTCTTATTTAAACAGTTTTTCATTAGTTAATAAAATAAAATGTAAGTATATCGAGCAAACAATCGTGATTTTTAATCATCTATGTAAATTATTATGTATTGTTGCACACATTAAAATAGCTTCGTCGGTCGTTATAATATAATATGTAAATCGATTGTGGGAAAAGTAAATACTTATTATTAAAAATTGATGTTCTAATGAACATCTGAACACCATGCACTGTTCTAAAGGTAAAAAATATTTAAAGTATTTTGCCTTACAGAAAAGAAAACAAAGCATAATAAGTTAAGTTCACAATTCACCATTTTGTTAAATAAAAGTTCGTAAAGTTTTGTTTGGCTTTTTCGGTCTAAAATGTCATATTTGTCCGTAAATACGACGGCACCCTCTTCTTCCTTAAACGGGTATCGTGTCATAGATTAGTGAAAAATTTGTATCGTTAATGTGGTCTTGTAAACAAAACAATTATATATTTCAAAATTTGAGAAACTTTGGAAAACAGTACTAATTTACAATGTACCGTCTGCCCACGTAAGTGCGTGCAGTATTTAGGATTTTTTTTTTTATGTAAATCCTACGATACGGATTGAGCGGAGTTCAGTTGATAGTGATGTTTTGTTAACAATATATAAATATGTAATTATATGGTAAAATAGTTAAATATGCATTATATTTTTCTTCAACAATATTTGTTTAATATTGCACCGATCTCCCGTTTTCCGTTTTTTTTCCGGTTTTTCACATTTGTCGAGAAAATTCCTGGAAAAATCGAAAAATGACCTCTTTAAAGTACCTTCCGATTTAGGTTTTCTTTCGGAAAAAGTACTATCATTGTAAATCGGAGCAAGATTTCTGGTGTAAAAGTTGTCAACAGATAAATAAAAAAATAATAATAAACAAACATCTTTGTAAAACCATAAACTCCTTCACTCCATTCAGAATCTAAAATTAGTACCTCAAAAAATAATAAAAATTGTCCCGATGTACTGCTATTACACAGAAATTAATAAACTAACTACGTGTAAAACTGAAATTCATAACCTATTCAGTATAGTTAACGATCCGTAATGAGTTACCAAAAAAAAAAAAAAAAAAACCGGGAAAAAATCATAAAAGAATTTTACTAAAACTGCTGATATATTTATTCTCTAATGGACTACGTCATTGCCGGAGCACATTCAAATACAATAATAATATAGTTAGGTAGGTACTTGAAAATACACTACGGAGAAAAAATTACCTGGAAGGCCGAGACTAAGATGAAAAAATAGGGTGAAGAAAGATTACTAAATGGAAATGTTTAAAGCCTTGATTGGATTGAAGTGGATTTTCATTAGCTGGGGATTACGGGAGACTTATGGTTTGGACAGTATGGTCTGCTAAAGGCCTAAACCACAAAATAATTATAAATATAGGTACTTATTTACTGATTTAATGATTAAAAAAAAAAAATAATAAAGTAAAATAAAAAAGTATTCATTTTTCTAATTAATTGTTATATTTTTGAACAGTAACGTGTAATTTAAACTAATTATTATCGTTTTACAAGAATGCGTTACACAATATGTTCGTATAATTCGAACAATATTTTACACTAACTAACTTATTCGAAAACATAAATTTTATGAACAAACGTAATATAAAAAAAAAAACGGAAATATTTCGTATGATGGGTGGACCACTGGCGTTAGGTGAGAAATTGGGAAGGTAGAGGGTAAATGTAATGTATATAAATATTGTTATTGTATATGTTCGCAACGATTTATCATTGATGACGAA